CAGGTTTTACAATTGCAATTGGGGAGCAATTGTAAAACCTGTTGCAGTTTTTTAGCAACTTCATCATCTGACAAAGGGTCACCAAAACGGAAACAAAAGTCATCCTCATCCTTTTCTGCAGAATTTTCATCAATTAACTTACTTTGAGTAAGGAAAATATCGTCATCGTCAGGAATCCTCTCTTGTGAACAGTCAACGACACAATGCCATGTGGTACGACGCACGCGGTTCTTTCTGCACGTACAGCCCTCTTCTGCACGTGCAGCGTGTCTCGTTATACCGCGCTTATTTGCGACCCGTATACCGCGTAAATATAAGCTCCAAAAATGAGTGAGTGAGTGAGTTAGTTTGGTTTAACGCCGCTTTTAACAGTATTCCAGTCATATCACGGCGTGTCAGCTTAATGTGGGAGGAAAGCCCGAAGTGATGCAGGTCTCAGACGATTACAACTTCGGTGAAACCCACGAGCACGGGTATGGTGCTGACAAACCTAGAAACATAATCGGGGCGAACCGGGATTCGAACCCACAATCATAGGTTTCTGGCGTGCCCAAGGGACGCAACTCTGCACAGCGAATCGCGGCGCCTTAGACGACTGGGCCACCCGTGCCCCCCTCCAAAAATGACATAGATTAATGGATAGCGGTTTATAAGTTGGACATGATATGATCGTATAACCGGGTAGGCACAGAAAAGCCTCGGTTATACAATCATACCATTCCTTTGGTGTCATGGTTTCTCCATTACATAAATCCTACCAACAGATGGGACAGGGGCGCAGTTGTACGTTGACAACACGCCAACGTGGCATTAGAAGTTTAGTGGCGTGTCCCGAGTCTATTTTCAATGTTTTTTTCATCAGAGAAGCAATATTAACTCATGAACAAATGGTAACATCAGGCAAACACTCGATACATCCCCGTCAATAGTTCAGTATGAACAGACGGCGATGGTAAAGCTCTCCATAGCTGGAAATCCGAACCTGTTCAATAATATTAGTTACACGTTGTTGTGAGAAAAATGTAGGCCGTGACAACTCAGTAGAATTGACCAGGCAATAGGTCTGGGGGTGTTTAGTTAAGACTTGACTTGTCCTGAACACGTCAGTGCCATAGTATGAAAAAAACGGTTGTTGAACTTGTGTTGTTATAGCCCATCAACGCTTGAACACCAAACTGTAAGTGTGATAAATGTCGTTCAAACCATCTCACTTACACTGTTTCGAATATTCAGCAGAAAATATATATTAACCAGCTGTGAGTTGAGATATCAGATGTTTTACAAGCAGTCGAATAGGAAGGATAAAGGACCCCTCACTGATTAGGTTCTTGTTTACTTAATATTTTTATGTACATGTATACATTCAGTCTACATGTTTCAGTGAATTAAATACAAATTTGCTTTTGAATATAAAACGTGGATTATTTACTGACCGCCGTCTTATAACTGGAATATTGCCGAGTGCGAAGTTAAACATCACACACACACATACACTGTTTAAAACTGCAGCGCTGTCGCCATTTCAAATGGGGGCCATATACATATGGTGGAGGAAGGGTTTGCTATATTGCTGCCCTGGCCCTCTAAGTATGGCAGATTGCAATCCAACAAACCATACACTGATCAAGGGAAGCATACATCCTCTTATAAACCTATCATGGTGTTGTAACCATCTCCCAGACGACCTTTCTTTTGTAGTAAGACCACTCAGCGGGTTTTACAATTGCTCCTCAGGTTTTACAATTGCTCCCCAGGTTTTACAATTGCAATTGGGGAGCAATTGTAAAACCTGTTGCAGTTTTTTAGCAACTTCATCATCTGACAAAGGGTCACCAAAACGGAAACAAAAGTCATCCTCATCCTTTTCTGCAGAATTTTCATCAATTAACTTACTTTGAGTAAGGAAAATATCGTCATCGTCAGGAATCCTCTCTTGTGAACACGCGGTTCTTTCTGCACGTACAGCCCTCTTCTGCACGTGCAGTCCGCGCAGCGGCCCGCGATAACAACTGTTATAAAGCGTGTCTCGTTATACCGCGCTTATTTGCGACCCGTATACCGCGTAAATATAAGCTCCAAAAATGAGTGAGTGAGTGAGTTAGTTTGGTTTAACGCCGCTTTTAACAGTATTCCAGTCATATCACGGCGTGTCAGCTTAATGTGGGAGGAAAGCCCGAAGTGATGCAGGTCTCAGACGATTACAACTTCGGTGAAACCCACGAGCACGGGTATGGTGCTGACAAACCTAGAAACATAATCGGGGCGAACCGGGATTCGAACCCACAATCATAGGTTTCTGGCGTGCCCAAGGGACGCAACTCTGCACAGCGAATCGCGGCGCCTTAGACGACTGGGCCACCCGTGCCCCCCTCCAAAAATGACATAGATTAATGGATAGCGGTTTATAAGTTGGACATGATATGATCGATCATGTTGTTGTAACCATCTCCCAGACGACCTTTCTTTTGTAGTAAGACCACTCAGCGGGTTTTACAATTGCTCCTCAGGTTTTACAATTGCTCCCCAGGTTTTACAATCGCAATTGGGGAGCAATTGTAAAACCTGTTGCAGTTTTTTAGCAACTTCATCATCTGACAAAGGGTCACCAAAACGGAATCGCTTACATAAGTTTGGGGTTAGGGAGATTGGTCGATAGGAGTTTGCTTCGTTTGCTGGTTTGTTCGGCTTTCCATGAAGTAGGACCCTGACCGTTTTGGTAGATGAGATTGTATAGTTAAGTAGTGATTCCAGAAGATTTTGGGGAAGCTGTTTCATTATTTGGTATGAGGTAAGGTCAAGTCCTGGGGCAGTTCCTTTTTCTATTATTTAGTACATGGAGTAGTTCCTCTAGTGTATATTGTTGGTTAATTTCTAGGTTAACATCTTTGGGTCATTTGAAGAATTTATTTTGATTTTTTAATTGTTTTTGGAATTCCTCAGGGAAGTTACTATTACTACTAATGGCCGAGAAGTGGTCTGCGAGGTTATTTGTTTTTTGTTTAGGGTTTGTCGAGTTATTTATGTTTGGTGTTTTTTTGGTTCGTTTAATGCCTCGGATTGCGTGTATTTTGCGCCATACTGTTCTTGCGTCTGTGTGATGGTATATTTCTTCGCAGAATTTTTTTTTCAGTTTTTGGTTTGCCGTTTTGACTAAGCTTTGTACTTCATGGTTTAATTGATGTGCTATCTTTAGATATGTGTAGTCTCGTTTAGCTTTATTAAATGCGCTTTTGCGTTTTTTCCTAGTTTATTTTATTTCCTCGGTCCACCAGGGTACTGTGGTTTTGCCTATTATTGGTGTTGTGGGATAGTTTTTTTTGCTATGTTGATTATGCATTCTGTTAAGGTTTGGCAGTATTATTCGGGGTCTTTATTTTCGGGATCCGCTTGGTTGATCTGTTTGCATAGTGCTTTGCATTTGTCCCAGTCTGCCTTGTTGTAATTGAATTTTGGTTCTTGTGGTTCATTTGGGGTTTGGATATTTATGCTTCCTGGTCGCTGCCGAGTGGCTCCTAATGCACTTCCCACAAAGTGCTTTGGGCGATATCAGGGGTACAGATTGTTAGGTCTATAGCCGACATATTTTGATTAATTTTATCATATCTAGTTGGTTGGTTGTTATTTAGTAGTATTAGGTTTTTTGTTCTATCCATTCGGCGATGAGTTTGCCGTTTTGGTCTGTTTTATATTTAACAGGAGGGGTGGTGGGCGTTGAAGTCCCCCAAAAAGATGGTGGATATATGGCTTAGCTGATTTAGGGTTTCTAAGTTTTCATGTTTAATTTGTTTCACTGTCCAGTTGTACATGTTTACAATGTTTATTTTTTGGTTGTGATGAGTTATTTGTATACCATTAGCTTCTAGATTTGGAGTTTTAATTGGTATTTCTTTATGGTTTATGTCCTCCCTGATATATATGATTAGGCCACCGCATGCTCTACCTGGGCGAGATTTAACTCTGTCGAGTCTTACCGAGTTATAATTAGGTAGGGTGAATTTATATTCTTGGGAGAAGTGGGTTTCCTGAACGCATATGATATGAGGACCTAGGTTTTTCCGAAACATAATTTTTAATTCTTGGCCGTGGGCGGCCAGTCCATTGGCATTCCACTGTAATATGTTTAGACCTTCCATTATTTAGAGGGTTTCGAGTTTTGGGGTTTAAGCTTTGTTTAGGTGTAGGTTGTTGTGGTTTCTATTTTGAGATTTCTTTTAATGTGTTATCAAAGTTTTCAAAGGAGAGACTAGTAAGATATAGTTTGGAAGCCACTGTGTGAAAGGATTTAAACCAACGTTGATAAACCAACCAGGAGTGGTATATAGGTAGATATAATACCAGTCTTCAGATGTACACACATTTGATGATACATACAAGGGGCGTGCAATAAGTTTCGCGACTTGGGCATTTGTGTTTACACAAACAATGTCAACTTGTGGCAGGTGTGAGACTAGTCATAACATCAGGTTGACACGTGTCATAACAAGTTCCGGACACAACAATAAGTTAGATGTGATAGCTTATTCACCTGAGGGTGGTCACAATCATGGATTCTCTCAAACATAAACAATGGCTGAAATAAAGCTCCTTACCAAGGAGGGATGTAAAGCAAAAGAAATCCATGATCCCATGTGTGAAGTTATGGGTAATGACTATTCCACAGTTTGCCGTTGGTCTCTACAGTTTAAAAGGGGTAGGGAGTCCATAGACGATGACCCAAAGTCAGGCAGGTTTTCAGATGCCACCCAACCGGAAACCATTGCTGCTGTAGAAAGAAAATTTTGTCTGACCGACGAGTGAAAGTATCTGAACTTTCTAGGGAATTCCAAATATCAGTTGGAACCGTTATAACCATTATTCATAAGCATCTTGGTATATCCAAGGTATTTGCAAGATGGTACATAGAAACCTTAGAGCTCAAGATCGCCACCACAGAACTGAAAGTTTTTGAGACCTCCTGGATATCTATTCTGCTGATGAAGCCGGATTTCTTTCTTGTCTAGTGACAGGTGATGAAACATGGATCCACCACTGGGACCAAGAAACTAAACTGGAAACCATGCAATGGAAGCACCCCATCCGCCTCCGAGGAAGTTTGGCACTCAACCATCGGCTGGCAAGGTAATGGCCACCATATTTTGGGATGCAAGAGGCATATTATTACTGATTGATTACATGCCACCAAAAACTACAACCAATGAAGAGTATTATGCTAATGTAATAAGAGAATTACGAAAATCTATTCGCCAGAAACGCCGTTGGATGTTAACACGTGGTATTCTACTTTTGCACGACAACGCTCGGGTTCACAAGTCGAAAATTGCACAGGCCGCAATATGTGAATGTGGATTCGAACAGTTAAATCATCCACCCCACAGCCCAGACCTAGCCCCCAGTGACTATTTCCTGTTTCGGTAAATGAAATCTGCACTACGTGGAAGACGCTTCCAGGATGACGAGGACAGAAAGGCTGACACAGAGGCGTGGTTAGAGGGCCAATCTGCTTATTTCTATAAAGGTGGTATTAAAAGCTTGAAGGACAAATGGAATAAGTGTATTGAGGTGAATGGAGATTATTTTGAAAACTAAAAATGCAAAAGATATTCTGCGACTTGGGCTTATATTGAAGTTGCAAAACGTATTGAAGGCCCCTCGTATATGAGGTTTAAGTTGATTATGACAGCCAGGGCCAAGTCGTGACAAACACATGTGACAGAGAATTGTTTGAGAAAATACATTAAAAGTGCTTTATAACTTTCTTTAAATGCGATGTACTGTGACATTTTAAAGTGGTATATATGTAGATATAATACCAGCCTGTAGATGTAAACAAATTTGATGATACATCTGTGAGGTGAAATTTGAATTTGACAGCTTAGGCCAAGTCGGACCGAACACTTCTGATAGAGACTATGTTGAGAATGTAGAGGGAAAAGGGCTTCACTTTGAGCACCTTGTTTTCTTTAAATACCGCGATCTGAGACACTACAAAGTTGTATACATGTTGATATAATACTGGTCTATAGATGTAAAGTATTTTTAGTAACTTTAGACGTTTAAACAGTTATTAACACATGTCGTGTCAGCCCTTTGACATTCGCGATTATCCACTCCCAGAAAACATCCTGTGTTGGTTTAACATGAATGAGTAAAGGATATTTGGGGAGGCCCAACACGTTAATCAAAGAAAGAAAAGTCGTCAAAACACAGTCATTTCCAAGACTACATATCATTTCACACTCCTACAATGTACATACTACGGTCGACGAGAAACCTTCTCATCAAAGAAAACACACAGTCAAGGCACTGATTTTTCTACGAGGACTCTCGGAATGTAGTCGTAATTATCACTTGATTACATTGTTGAATATAAATTTTGATTCAAGCTCAATAAATTGAACAAAACTATACGTTGTGGACATTTCAGATTTACCAAGATATGCATGTTTTGTTTTATTATTCTACAATCCATTTTTAGTATTAGCCGCTGGCCCGGCCCGGCCCTACTTTTCCTGGCCCGACTTTTAGGCAATCCCCCATATCTGCTTTCTGTGATGATGTTGGCGTTCGGTGATGTCAATGACGTAGCGGATGGCAATACAGCAGTGAGTGTCGTTGAGGGAGGGAGGGGGAGTCCGACACGGGAGTGCTGGTATTGGTGATGATGATGTGGTGTCAGAAACCATCGACTCCACTGACAGTCGCAATGCCTGCATTTCCTTCTTGAGGCTGGCGACTTCAAGCTTCAGTGTGTCGATATCTGCGTCACTGGTATGGTCAGACAGTCCTGTTGTGGTTGAGACATGGCGTGGTGACAATGTGGAGGGAGTCGTTTCAGAAGGTGGAGATGAATCAGAAGTGGGGAGGTAGGAGGAGACGATTCATTCATAGACTGGCTTGCCCTCTTCCAAGAATCAGGAACTATAACAATGTGATGAAGATTTTTTTCGGTCATACAACATACAAGCACTGGTTATAACTAAGCTACAGGCTTGCTGATACTGTCATGCACTTTACAGTTATCTGTGTAGTCTGGTTGATAAGACGAGATCAGTTTTTTACTGCAATAACTATTCATGACAATAATGTGTAAAGGAAACCTAAATTCACCTTCTTTGCAGCATTTGTCCTTTTCTTTGTTCGCTCAGATATAAACATTAATGATGAAATATGGTTATAACATCATTTGCAGATAAACGAGGAAAGTGTAAATTCAATAAAAAACAGTTACCAAGTATAATACTTACAACCATGCATTTATCTTTAAAAAAGAGTAACGTGTACGCTACAAACCTCTCGTTTTCTCTTTCTCACACTGGACGCGCGAATCCCCTGAAATTAAAGAGAAAAAAAACACCTCTATAAATTTATTGTCATATTTCCATAGATGTCTGTAAGTGATCACTTGTTTCTTTGTTTAGTTGGCCAATATATGAAGATACACTCTTCAAAAAAAGAAACGCACAAGTAGTATGTAGTATTGAACCCTGACTACACAAAAAATCCGGTATATAAATTGGATATATGTTACTGGAAAATGTTGGTGGCCTGATATTCGACACACGGTGCGTCAAAACGCAGCCATTGTCGATTTGCAATGTCTTAAACGGCTTTGTTTTGACACGTGTTCAAAAATATCATGGAGGAAAACATTAAAGCAAATGCACGTGCAAGTTATGGTATTTGTAACTCGTGGTAGTGGCTATAAAAGGCAAACAAAAGCCAATAATTTGTCATTCAATTGTCAACATTTTTCAAGTTCGAAAATGTCGAGACTCAGCACTGCCGATCGGAACATCGCCATAGGACGTATCCAAAGAGGGGAATCGCAGTATTCTGTCGCACGCCACTTCAACGCCCACCACAGCACCATTTTCCGCCTTTGTGAGCGATACACACAGTTCAATTCCACTGCAGACCGCCCGAGAACCTGCCGAACAAGAGTTACCATCCCTGCACAGGATCGCTACATTCGACTGTTCCACCTACGTCATCGCAATGCCACAGCTATGGAGACTGCAGGACGCATCCCTGGTTTGAGGAGGATATCAGACTAGACTGTCAGGAACCATCTTCGCGAGGCTGGAATCGGACCCAGAAGACCAGTTATCGTCCCTGTTTTGCAACAGATCCATCGACAGCGACGCTTGAGTTGGTGCCATACCTTACAGCCTTGCAATTTGAGAAGCTGGGGATGAGTGTGGTTTAGCAATGAATCACGATTTCTTCTTCATCGGCGAGATGGAAGACAACGTGTTTATTGTCGTCGAAATGAGCGTTTTGCCCCACATTGTGTACGTGAATCAAATTTCAACAGGACAACGCTCCACCGAACACAGCTCGTGTCACGGTAGACTACCTGATAATGCCAACAGATCTCAACACAATCGAACACCTCTGGGATGAACTCGATCGACGTGTACGTCAACGTCAGATCACGCCGCAAACACTCCCACAACCGGCCAACGCGTTAGAGGCAGAATTCCGCAGGACAGAATTCGTACATTTATCCAGTCAGTGCCGAGGAGATGCAGAGCCGTGATTGCTGCCCGGGTCGGTCACACGAGATAATGAGTTCTGCGCAACCTTATGGCCTTATGTGACATGACAATGAACAGTTTTCAATGCCTTTATACAACGACAACATGTGACTATCGAGCTCCAAATTTTCATATATGTATCTATGATATTAATTTAAATATATCGATTTTATCAGGTACAATAAATTTACTAAAAATCTACCTGCGCGTTTCTTGTTTTGAAGAGCGTATATACAGGCCGTTTTTTATGTAATTACGATGATAATCCATGGTAATCCGATGCAGATGGAACCAGATGTTAGTGTAAATGATCCCCATCTATGCATTATATATCAGATTCCAAAAGAATTTTGTGCATTAAGTATGTTTTGCGCAGTCGAATCTACTGGTATTCTACCAGAGCTTCACTGTACCTCCAGATTATAATTCTCCGTGAGTGACATACTTACTTATTATTGACATCTTTCATTTCTATCTCATTCACTTGTAATTAAGCGACGAATGTACGTAGAACATGTACATTATCACGCAGTTATTGCTATGTAACGTGCCGTCATATAATAATTACCATTGTGGAGGTGACATCAAGCTCTGGTGGAGACTTGTGAGGGAGTATCCATGTTGGATCACGGCCTGTATCGCTTTCATTTCCGCTCTCACTGAGACACAGTTGAAAGCTTTCGGCGGGGGTGGCTTTTGGGGAGTTTAAACCATAGGGATGAAAGGCGGGGATATATAATCCCTGATGATGTTTCAAAATCACTGATTGAGGATATTAATGCTGAAATGTATAAGGATATTGATAACGCCGTCAATAAGATATCCTATCTTTTCGAGTGGGCAGCAGCTTCAATGAGCAGACGACATAGGTCACGTGCACGTGACAGCCCGCGTGGTGAAACATGCAGTGTGAGACAGCCAAGCGTGAAACGTATTGGGCCTTGGACAAATTTAGATTGACTGACTGACGCTTCACTTGATTTGCAAAGTTGTAAACAAAAGACGCGAATATTTTAATCAGTGTGTCATGATAGTAAAAGGAATCAGAGATAAAATTTAATGTATTCGTGACAACCCTGATGAACTGTGGAAATCTATTTAATCATCAGTGGCACTGCAAGGCCGTAGTTAACTTTTTTGACAGGGGGGGGGGGCAAATATTTGTCCAACTATCACTTGACCCCAACTTGATTCATTAAAACTGTTTTCTATAACACTTTTCAGTCCTGGGTTGGTACTCGCCAAAGATGTGTGATCAGTCCACTGTTATTTTCATTATACATCAACGAATTGGTTACTGAGATGACTACTTCAAACTGAAGAGGCATGTTAATAATTGAAGATTATCTGAATATATGTTCACTTCTCTATGCTGATGATGTCGCTAACGCTGCAGATTCCACAGGCAAACTCCAAGAACAAATAAATTGCGTTAGCAACTTCTGTGAAAAATCGAAGATTGTTGTATTCCGAAATGGTGGATATCTACGGCAGTATGAACAATGGTATTACAGGGTCTCTCAGATCGAAACCGTCTCCTTTTATAAATATCTTTATATTATTATTTCTCACCTATGTAACAAAATGTGTAATATACTGAACCGCAAAAGAAACGTCACCCCAAGTAACAATGCATGAAAAGTTGTCATTTAAATATCTGGGTACACACCAGCGACACATTACTGCGGGCACCGTGCGTCGACGATTGACGAGCAGACACCTCCACTGTCACAGGCCACATCGAGGACCCATTCTGACACCACGTCATCGCCGGGGCCGTCTTTAGTGGGCAACACAGCACCAGCATTGGCGCCGCCAGCAGTGGAGAAGAGTCCTCTTCTTAAACGAGAGCCGTCACTGTATCTCAACTGTAGATGGCAGAGAGAGAGAGAGAGAGAGAGAGAGAGAGAGAGAGAGAGAGAGAGAGAGAGAGAGAGAGAGAGAGAGAGAGAAAGAGAGAGAGAGAGAGAGAGAGAGAGTCTGGCGACGCTATGGGGAACGTTATTCGGATGCTTGTGTTGTTGAGAGAGACTCATGGGGTGGTCCGAGCATCATGATGTGGGGTGGAATTGGTATTGTACAGAGGGTCGGCCCTGTGGACTTCCTGAACATCGGTCCAGGGAGAGGCAATGGTGTCACAGCAGCTCTGTACATTGATCAAGTCTTGAGACCACACGCCATATCTCATTCGGCACGTCACCGCAACCACGAGTTTCAGCATGATAACGTCCGTGCCCACACTGCGAGAGCATCAAAAGACTTCCTCCAGCGGAATGGCATCAGAACCATGCAGTGGCCTGCCCTCAGTACCGATTTAAATCCCATTGAGCACCTGTGGGACGAAATTCAAAGACGGCTGAATGACGTCCGACCAAGGCCGACAACTGCAGCTGAACTGCGTCAGACGTTTATAAGAGTGTGGGCTGAAGTGCCTGTGGCCTTCATCAACCCCCTCATCCATTCCATGTATCGACGTTGCACGGCAGTCATCAATGCACATGGCGGACACACGAGATACTGACTTGTGATGCCATTTTCTCAGAAACTAGTGTTGTGTTTCACTATAAGAACATTTGACACTTTAAATTCAACCCAGTTTTGCCAAGTTTCATCTTTTTAATATGTCTCAAAGTATGTTTACAGTGTTTGGACAAATAAAATTTCTCATTATCTTTCCATGGTGACGTTTCTTTTGCGGTTCAGAATATATTGGGTAAACTAGTCATTATGAACAATTGCCGACAACCGAAGCAAACGTATTTGATGCTGTATGGATTGGATTGCGTAAACAGAACTTCCTGGGCGACTAAGATAAATCATGATCATACCTTATTCCAGTTTGGCTTTGGCTACGCCTGGATTATGCAAGATGTTGGACATTTTTATCTTTTTATGTCTCAGTTTAAACAACGTGTGTCCGATTACAGCATCCAACGATGGCATTCATCAATATCATCAAATCCAATGCTTATGGCATATTCAACCTACAACCAGTTTTAAAGACAGAAGTATATCTTGCACAAGTAGACTATACACTATTGAAACAGGCGCTGTCAAGATTTAGATGTGGCTATCATCAGTTTATGATCGAATTGGGCAGACGCAAGAATGACGCTTGTGAAGATATTGTCTTCGATTAAACATTAGTCTAGTTGCTTTTAATGATTTAAGAAATCGATACATTGATCCTAAATACTTTGTTAATCCGTCACTGGAATCCTTTGTTCGCCTGATGTCTTCTAATCATAAACCTACTATTGTACAGCTATCAAAATTCATATTGAATGCAATGGAATTGGATAAGTCACTTTATCAGTAATTGTATTCCTGTAATGTTATGTTCTGTGGGCATGTGGCCTCTAACTTGAAATAAAGGTGTTACTTGTTGAAAGCGTTCAACCTGAAAGAAAGATTAATCATTAGCACGTGCAAGAACTTCCGTCTAGATCCAGATAGAAAAATAATAATTGTAAGGTGAAGTTGTCAAATATTCTCGAAAGGTATTAAACACGTAAATGTACTAAAATATAACTGTAGGGTATTGATGAAGCGGCATTTATAGTTATCTCTTCACCTGTCTTTTCCGGCATACACGTGGGTTCATATTGCTGGTAACCCTGGAAAACAATGTCAAATATACAAACCTACCTCACAGCCAGAGCTAAACATGTGTGTATTTATTTTACACAATACTATTTGCAAACTAATTTGACATTCTCAGTTAGATATATGTAAGCTCCTCGACAACCCACATGTACATGTATTTATTATATTATGATGGTATTACTGTTCATGGGAATACAAAAATAATATTGAAATTAAGAAAAAATAGACAGAATTGCACTAAATAAACGAAATAAATCATGAACCTATATATGCAATAGGTTAATTTGTAACACGAGTGAAAGATGGATTCTGAACACGAGTTCCAACACGTACGCTAGCTGTCACTTCCATGGTTTGGGACGTTAAGCTGTATTCGTTGAAATGTAATTTATCGTCAATTGACTTACTTACTTAGTTTTGGTTTTAACCAGCGCTTTCCGACATATGCGTATATTTTGCAGTTCGCACACGGACCCGACAAGCCGTTCAGTGATGTGGTCGAGAAAGGTATGTCCGAAAGGTAAGGCAACCTGGAGGGGCTCTATGGTCGCTTAATTAATTTTGGCGGAAATTTTGAATTTTGAAATATGCCATGCTAATAAGGTGGAGGATCTAAAGGAGATTGTGAGGTTGTGTGTTGTTATAGATTTATTATTTATGTTTTATTGGTAGCTTGTTTGTTGTGGTTTTTGGGGTCTTTTTTTCTCTCTCTCCTAAATGCGGCCGAGTAGGCCTGTTTTGATTAGATAAATGCCTAGTGCTTTATAGGTCTGTAAGCTTTTAAGGGGTTTAATGGAGTTGCTAGTGTCATTTGGTTGTTGTAGTTTAGTGTTGTGCTGTGTTGTTTGTAATGTGTGCAATGTAGTATTACGTGTTCAGGAGTTTCTATTTGGTTGCCATTTGGGCAGTAACCGGTTTAATGTTTTTTTTAATTTGGTGTAGGTGTGAGTTGAGATTAGTGTGGCCTGTTTGTAATTTGGTTATTGCCCTGTCGATATTTTTTGTTTTAGGAAGGATTTTGGGTTTTTTGAGTGGCCTTTGTAGCAGGTGATTTAGTTTGCAGTTTGATTTCTGATAGTTGTTTTGCCACCTATGGAAGATTTTTTCCTTTGTAATATTTCAAATTTCGTTTTTTAGATATTGAAAAGTTGATGCTTACTTCTTCCAATTTTAGTGCTGATTTAGCTGCTTCGTCGGCATGTTTGTTACCAAACACACCGATGTGGACAGGGATTCAAACTATTTCTATATATTTGCCTAGTTTACGGAGATTGTCGTAGCTTTTAAGTATCTGAAGTATTAGCTTAGGACGTTTTTTGTGTTTTTGTTTTTTTATAGCCTGGAGCTCACTTAATGAATCTGTTAGTATTAGTTTTTTTTGGTGTTTTTTTTCATTTGGGCGCTGTGTAGGGCTGTTACTATCCCCATTAGTTCGGCTGTGAAGATTGATTGGTTAGTGGGAAGCCTACATGAGTTTGTTTCTTTTGTAGGTGTGTTGATGTTGATGCCGTGCGTTTTGAGTCCGGGTCAAAGGACCCGTCTGTGTATATGTGACACCAATTTGGCCATTGTTCGTGTATGTATGCTTGTGTGGTGGATTTAGCGGTGTTTGGGTCGGTTTCTTTATTTAGTTTGGTGGAGAGAGATATGTCGAATGTGTGGGTTTGTAGTTTGGGTATGAAAGAGTCGTTTGGTGCTGTGTTTAGTTTAAATCATTTAGGTTGTGAGTATTTGAGTAGTTTAGTATGTGTTGAGGTGAGGTGAAATGGGGTTTAACGTCGCGTCCAAGATTATTGCACTTATATAGCGACGTGCATGCACGTGTATGTGTGTGGCTGCTTGTACGGACGATGCCTATTTATAGTGCTAGCTCACTGAGATACCATGCCGCAGTTTAACATGAATACCCCACTCAGACACAGTATACTAACTCTGAGCCGACCAGTCCATGTTTTAGCCCCTTAATGCCGAGCGCCAGACAGGGTAACAACAAGTACCATCTTTTAACGTCTTTTGGGGATCGAACCCCGGACCTTCCGCTCTCCGGGCGGACGCTCTACCCCTCGACCACATAGGCGGTCCTCGTATGTGGTGAGAAATTGGTACTAATTGTGGGTTATTTCGAGCTACTGCTTCGAGCCCTTTTGGGCTAAGGCTGTTTTTAAGCATTTGTTGGATTATCTTGGGTGGAGGCCCAGTAATTTATTGTAAGTTCTCGGCATAGATCCAGGAGGATTTCGCCTGTTAGTGCCTGCAGTGATGTGCGCGGTGTGCCCCGTTGTGTGCGTGTAATTAACCTTAGTGCTTGGTATTGGACTGAGTTTAGTTTATCGTTTAATAATGAGTTGAGGGGGTTGTATATTTGGCATCCATAGTCTATTTTGGATGTAATCAGTGATTTGTAAAGTGACAGTAGGGTCTCATCTGATCTGGATTTATTTCTTCGCAAATTCATTTGCAGTTTTGGCTTTCGCAGTTTTGACGAGGTTTTGTACTTTATGATTTAGTTGGTGTGCTACCTTTAGATGTGTGTACACACATCGTCATTTGACTTATAGCCGTTGATAAATATATATTAAAATACCATCCTATATTCTCCGACATACTACAATACTATTCCATAGTCTCCAATATATTACAATACCATTCCATATTCTCTAACATACTAAAATACCATTCCATATTCTCAAACATACTACAATACCATTCCATATTCTCCAATATATTACAATACCATTCCATATTCTCCAACATACTACAATACCATTCCATATTCTCCAATATATTACAATACCATTCCATATTCTCCAATATATTACAATACCATTCCATATTCTCCAACATACTACAATACCATTCCATATTCTCCAACATACTACAATACCATTCCATATTCTCCAAATTACTACAATACCATTCCATATTCTCCAACATACTACTATACCATTCCATTTTCTCAAACATACTACAATACCATTCCATATTCTCCAACATATTACAAAACCATTCCATATTCTCCAACATATTACAATACCATTCTATATTCTCCAACATACTACAATACCATTCCATATTCTCCAATATATTACAATACCATTCCATATTCTCCAACATACTACAATACCATTCCATATTCTCAAACATACTGCAATACCATTCCATATTCTCAAACATACTACAATACCATTCCTTATTCTCAAACATACTACAATACCCATTCCATATTCTCCAACATACTACAATACCATTCCATATTCTCCAACATACTACAATACCATTCTATATTCTCCAACATATTACAATACCATTCCATACACTCAAACATACTGCAATACCATTCTATATTCTCAAACATACTACAATACCATTCCTTATTCTCAAACATACTACAATACCCATTCCATATTCTCCAACATACTACAATACCATTCCATATTCTCCAACATACTACAATACCATTCCATATTCTCCAACATACTACAATACCATTCCATATTCTCCAACATACTACAATACCATTCCATATTCTCCAACATACTACTATACCATTCCATTTTCTCAAACATACTACAATACCATTCAATATTCTTAAACATACTGCAAATACCATTCTATATTCTCCAACATATTACAATACCATTCTATATTCTCCAACATATTACAATACCATTCCATACACTCAAACATACTGCAATACCATTCTATATTCTCCAACATACTACAATACCATTCCATATTCTCCAACATACTACTATACCATTCCCTGTTCCCCAACATTCTGTAATATCATTCCATAATTTCCAATACATCACAATACCATTACATATTCTCAAACATACTACAATACCATTACATATTCTCCAATATACTACAACACCATTCCATATTCTCCAACATACTACAATACCATTCCATATTCTCCAACATATTACAATACCATTCCATATTCTCCAACATACTACAATACCATTCCATATTCTCCAATTTATTACAATACCATTCTATATTCTCCAACATACTGCAATACCATTCCATCTTCTCAAACATACTGCATACCATTCCATATTCTCAAACATACTACAATACCATTCCATATTCTCCAATGCTTTCCAATACCATTCCATATTCTCCAACATACTACAATACCATTCCATATTCTCCGACATACTACAATACTATTCCATAGTCTCCAATATATTACAATACCATTCCATATTCTCTAACATACTACAATACCATTCCATATTCTCTAACATACTACAATACCATTCCATATTCTCAAGCATACTACAATACCATTCCATATTCTCCAATATATTACAATACCATTCTATATTCTCCAACATACTACAATACCATTCCATATTCTCCAATATATTACAATACCATTCCATATTCTCCAACATACTACAATACCATTCCATATTCTCAAACATACTCCAATACCATTCCATATTCTCCGACATACTACAATACTATTCCATAGTCTCCAATATATTACAATACCATTCCATATTCTCTAACATACTACAATACCATTCCATATTCTCTAACATACTACAATACCATTCCATATTCTCAAGCATACTACAATACCATTCCATATTCTCCAATATATTACAATACCATTCTATATTCTCCAACATACTACAATACCATTCCATATTCTCCAATATATTACAATACCATTCCATATTCTCCAACATACTACAATACCATTCCATATTCTCAAACATACTCCAATACCATTCCATATTCTCCAACATATTACAATACCATTCCATATTCTCCAATTTATTACAATACCATTCTATATTCTCCAACATACTGCAATACCGTTCCATATTCTCAAACATATTACAAAACCATTCCATATTCTCCAACATACTACAATACTATTCTATATTCTCCAACATACTACAATACCATTCCATATTCTCCAATATATTACAATACCATTCCATATTCTCCAAACATACTACAATACCATTCCATATTCTCAAACATACTGCAATACCATTCCATATTCTCAAACATACTACAATACCATTCCTTATTCTCAAACATACTACAATACCCATTCCATATTCTCCAACATACTACAATACCATTCCATATTCTCCAACATACTACAATACCATTCTATATTCTCCAACATATTACAATACCATTCCATACACTCAAACATACTGCAATACCATTCTATATTCTCCAACATACTACAAAACCATTCCATATTCTCCAACATACTACAATACTATTCTATATTCTCCAACATACTACAATACCATTCCATATTCTCCAATATATTACAATACCATTCCATATTCTCCAAACATACTACAATACCATTCCATATTCTCAAACATACTGCAATACCATTCCATATTCTCAAACATACTACAATACCATTCCTTATTCTCAAACATACTACAATACCCATTCCATATTCTCCAACATACTACAATACCATTCCATATTCTCCAACATACTACAATACCATTCTATATTCTCCAACAT